TGTCAGCAACTACAGTCAAGCTGACACAAATAGAGCAGTCTAACTCATCAAAACTTATTCTAAATTGTAAAAGAAAAAAAAAAGTTAAAATTGTTCACCTTCCATTTTAAGTCATGATATTGAATTTCTGTCGTAAATATTTAAATTCATTCAGGAACTTTATATTCACTATGCAAGTAAAGTTGGAAGAACTATAGTATATACTGTACTGTTTTTCTCTTTAGGTCGACACCTTGAAGATCTCACCTTAACAGATTTAACTCAGATGGAAAGAAGAGCACATTGCCATCATGACTGAAGTTCAAGGTTGAAGCCTAGATCACACTTATGGAATGCAAAAAGCTTGTTTTGCTTGATAGGAATGAGTCAGGTGGCAGGTTGGCAGCTTTTCCCGAGAGCCAGTGAGAAAGGAAGTGACACAAACCTATATCTTGAGCAATATGTTAAACATCATGTATCTACTTACTTTCACTTTTAAGCAATTAAAGCACATGTTATTTTAATGTGAGGCAGGATATATGTTAAACATAAAATTTTAAAAAACTGTTGGGTCATTGCACAATAAGTAGGCATATTATGTAAGGCAAACCCAAACATGTTTGAAGAATGCAGGAGTCAAATTTTACACAGCAGTGTCTTTGCACAAATGTGTTTTCAGTCTAGTTGCTGTTTTACATATCAACTTTTTTTTTCTACAGCAGAAATTATATAGATATTTGAAATAATCAAAGTTTTGCCTATGTTTGTCTTTACACAGCATACAGTATGTACATTTTCATTTTAAATATGAAGATTATGATTGTGAATAAATAATCATTTTACTTACAGACCAGAAATCTGTTTATATTTCTTTCAATCTTTGTTGTATTTTGCTGTTTGGCAGATGTTTGCAAGGGTGGAAAATAAACAATGGGCCATGTTTAAATCCATGATTTTGTCATTTATTTATTTATTCTTTCAAGCATGTAAAGACAGTTAATTTATATCAACACACATAATTTTACACATATCCACAAATGCTAATCCAATATCAATTTGCTTATACCTAGTACATACTTGAATGGAGTAGGAAGAAGTCAGACTTATCCAGTCCTACCCCATGACATCATCTTACCATCACTGGTTTGCAAGCAGTATCTCTACATAGATAATTCTCTTCTACACCACACAAGTAATATACTAAAAAATTATAACAGTGTTAACATTCTTACATAATTACATTCTTAAATAATTATCTTCTACACCATACAAGTAATATACTAAAGAATTATTACAAAGTGTTAACATTCATACACCACACCCACAATGTTCCATCTAATTAATCATTGAGCCTGTTCTTGCATATATCTTGATTGACACATACCTTTATATTTATGTTTAAACTCGTCAATTCTATTACTATTTTTTATGTCCACACTTAAATTATTCCATAGTTTTACCCCACTTATGGAAATACAAAATCTTTTTTTGGTTGTACGTATAGCATGAATTTTTAAATTTAACTGACCCCTTAAATTGTATCCCCCTTCCCTTTCATTAAATAGTTTTTGAATTCCACCAGGTAATAAATTGCTCCTGGCTTTATACATAAACAC